CGAGCCACACCCTTTGTGAGAGGCCGGCTTCTAAGTCCAGCCCAAGCTGACGGTGGGGAGCAAGGCCCCACGCTGAGGGAAGAGTGTCCGGAGGGTGTGGCAACGAGTTACCCAAAGGACCGTCCCTCTGCTCTCCTAGAATGCCCGCTCCCTGGGGAGGGGATGTTGGGCTCTGCCCCGGCAGCCTTGCTGCTGCACCTAGTCCGCCTTCTTAGGTTGGGTAACGGCTTCTAAGTCCAGCCCAAGCTGACGGTGGGGAGCAAGGCCCCACGCTGAGGGAAGAGTGTCCGGAGGGTGTGGCAACGAGTTACCCAAAGGACCGTCCCTCTGCTCTCCTAGAATGCCCGCTCCCTGGGGAGGGGATGTTGGGCTCTGCCCCGGCAGCCTTGCTGCTGCACCTAGTCCGCCTTCTTAGGTTGGGTAACTCTTTTGTAATGGACACCTCAGGTCTCATGTCTGTTACTGATTTCATGTTCTTCTTATAAGGGATGTGTTTACTGTGAAAACAAGGAGAAGGACAACTTTCGCATACCGTATGAGGAGGATATCCCTCCTCTGGGACTCAGTGATGCATCCGACACCAAAGAAGAAGAGAATGGACCTCCCCCCGGGTCACAAGAATGAAGAACAGGCACAACCATGCCTCCCCCCTTAAGCTAGAGACCCACGCTAGATGTGCTTGGAAGAGGTGATAGATTTCCACATTTGTTGTTAATGAAATGAACATAGATACTTTGGTTGCTTTTTTTGTTTTAGGGGGAAAAAGTTTTCTGAAGTGGTATCTCAACATTGGAGAGTGGGGAGTTTGGGAAGAAATACACTTTTATATGTGAAATATAAATGCGGGATTTGGGGGAATGGCGAGAGAGGTCTTGGTTATTGTTCAACTCGAAAAGGACCCCAGCACCCCTGTAGGTGACAGGGACACCATGATGACCTCCATCCTCTGCCTCCTTGGGGCTGTCCCCAGGCGTTGCTCCAGGCTGCGGGAAATGGCCAGGTGCCACATGTGACTGAGCTGAGGGCAGCGGCCTTCCAGAGCTTCTCCTGGCTGTGTTTGGGTCAGATCCAAATCCACCCTGTCTCGGGGACTGCTTTTCATCTAAATTATCATGTTGTCGGCTAGTTTTTTGTTTGTGTGTTTGTTTTTAACACACCAAGTGGTGATGCCAGCCTCTCCTAATTTTCTTTCAAAACGTTTCCTGTTGAGTGATGGGCGCGTAGTTTGGCAGACTGACAGCCCGGGCGTCCGGTGCTGCAGGTGGAACGTTTTGGTCTGACCTGACCTTTCTCTGTGGAGCACTCAGTGGAAAGGCTTGCCCTGGACCAGATGAGCGGAGCCTTGTCCACGCTGCAGCGCACACCCAGGCCCTCTCTATGTCTCTGCGTCGTTCCTGAATTTCCTTCAGACCCCGATGGCCAATATGACATCAAAATATGTCATCGGTCATCTTGTGGTGGCTTCCCTCTGCAAA